AAAAAAAGGTAAAGTAAGTAAGTAATATATATATATATATATATATATATATATAACACGATAAATTGGTAAACAGTGATGAGTTATACAAAAGCAAGCCATATGATCAACTAACAAATTCCTTGTCGTTGCCTTCGATAATAATTTTACTGTCGATTCGCTGATATTGCCCGTACCATATCCCCAACTCAACGACGGGGATATGGTACGGGCAATGTATTTAGCAAATAGTAAGAATATCGTAGTTTGTTGTCCAGTGTTGCCGGATCTGGGAAGATGTCGCTTTAGTTCAGTCTTGGAGAATAAACGTAGAGAATGTATCGTCTGCTCGATTGTAAAAACACTAACTCCTCTTGGATTTTTCCATATATATATATATATATATATAAGGATTGGGGAGAAGTTTGTAAACTCCATCAGGGTTATCATGGAGGTATGGCTAGCCTTTGGCATTGTACATTGTGTAGGTACAATGATATCTTTGTGTTATGCAGTCTTTATGTTGGGTTATATCCTCTTCATCGCTTTAATTTTACTTGCAAGATTTCATCACCCTGTCTGTTGGATACTGTGGCGATTTTATTTGAATAGCACTACTGCTTAGATAGAATCTATATCGCTGTTGCATATGCACATTTGAAGCATTCGTGAAGATATGAATTTGCATTCGTTTCGTAGAATTTATGGCTACTCGCGGTATCTCGATAACATCTGTTGGCCATTTCTTGATGAGAGGCTTCCACCTCTCTTCGTTTAGAATTTCTTCCCAAAACTTGGGATGGAATTCTTTGCCATAAGTTTTGAAGAAATGATTTGAGTAGTATCATCGCGAGAACTAGAAATCCTAAAGGATCATACTGAAAAGCAACAAATCGTGGAATGCTCCGTTTTGTGATATCCTGCTCATTCCATGGTCTAAATGTCACGCTTATTATGTCTTTGCCATGTACTCAAATGATGCCGAGAAATCACATTGGGCCTCCACTGACTCGGTCTTGTTTGGCTATCCCCCCTATTGAAGTTTTCATTGTTAGAAAGAAATCCCCGAATGTTCATTGCTGCTTCCTTAAAAAAACTCTTTACTTCATGGTACTTCTCCAACGCTTCTATTGTTCCTCTAGCTGATAATGTTGTCCGCGTACAAATTTTTTCTAATCTCAAACGCAGTCTTACTGCCATTGGTTTCTAAATAGTGATTCAGTATTACAGAAAGCAGGAAGGGTGATGCGACTACTCCAAAAGGAAGTCTTCTGAAACGATAGCACTTTATATTTTCTTCAGTGACTGGATTTCCAATATCCTTCACCCAGAGAAATCTGGTATAATTTCTGTCAACTGGATGCAATTCCAGTTGTAAGAATGCCTTCTCTACGTCTGCTGTAATGACGTTTCTCATCGTTCGAAAGCGGAGGAGTATTTCGACCGAATCAGGGAGCATTACAGGTCCACGATAAAGAACATCGTTTAGGCTTTTTGTGCCTTTAAAATGTGCCGAAACATCGTGAACAATTCTCAGCCCCGTCGTTTTATCTGGAGTTATAACTTCGTGGTGTGGTAAATATTGAATGACGCTTTCTTGATCCATTTCGGGATGAGCTTCTTCGATGGTTTCCGATTTAAGTTGATCTCATATAGTTTTATCATACTGTGTGAACAATATTTCATTATTCTCTCTCTAGTCGCTTGATTAATGTCATGAGGTATCCGACGCAGAGTCCATAATGACTTCTTAATTTATCCTTTGATTCTTTCCATGGCCATCTGACTTGATATCTCTCTTTCTGTCAACAGTACTCAAATTGTTTTAGAGCTTACTCGTCGTCATTTTCATCGGGTTGATCCTGAATGCCCATGAGTTTCAACTTTCAAAAATGATCAGTGTCATGGTCCTTATTTACTTTAGTCTTGTGTGTTACGGCAATCTCGATTGATGTTGCATTCGTGGTGCTAATATTATTTATATGTCCAGTTCCGTTCAGTATTTGTCCAACTTTTGTCTGAAACAAGGGAAATCCTAATTTCAGTTCTTGCGTTTTGCTCCATTCGATGTTGTCCAAATAATTCCTGCCGAGAAGTACATCAGGTTGTTTCCAATAACTTTTTAT